CACATCCAACTGGGAGGAGACCTAAAGGTAGACCCAGGACACGGTGGAGGGACTATGTCTCTCACCTGGCCAGGGAACGCCTTGGGACCCGACTCTGGATATGCAGATGAAAATGGATGGATGGATAGGAAACTTTTTATTGATTGGCTTAATGAACTGACCTGTATTGGAATGTTTACTACGTGAAGTGCCTTGAGAGGACTCTTGTCGTGATTTTGCGCTTTATAAATAAACTTGAATTGAATCCGTTCACCTAACCTAGTTTAGCTCAGGGGTTGGGAGAGAGATGCCTGTCATCCGTTTCTGGAGCTCATGCGGGCTTCTGTGAGCTGGATCTGACCCAGACACCAGCAAGCCAGTCGAGCTGGTATTTTTAAAAGCTGTGCATGATCTTTTCTTGGAGGTCCGTGGCGGTTCTGATCTGGTTCTGACCCGGAAACCAGCTCGACTGGCCCGTTGAGCCACACATCGCTTCTGGTGGTTGGTTCTGACCTGGTTCTGACGGTGATCTGAGCTCCAGAAATCCGTATTTAATTTTTTAAACCCCACCACGGTTCTCTGGAGCCCAGCGCAGACCTCCCTGTCACGGTACTGACCGATGTGGGCTACAGAAGTTTGTCTTTTCATCTGCACAAAACGCCCTCAGGCACGGCGATAGAGGCGTTGTTTCTCTTGTCTGGAAGCCCGGGGACTCGTCCAGACAGGCTGGAGTTGGTACAGCCTTCACACACTCTAGTTTATCAAAATGAACACAATCCAACACTAGTAAACACACACACTGACTGGATCGCATGACCTCTCTACCCTAAAACTACCCACTCTCCACACTGAGCTGAGGCAGCCTAGCTTCTAACTCCCTTTGGTTACGTCACAGGTTCAGATTAAAAAAAAAAGAGCCTTTTTAGAAGTTTCGCCACTTTTTAATTAAAAAAATGTACCGTTATGTATTTTAAAACAAAATATCCACAATAAGCATTTCAAATAATATTTTTTGGACAGCATTTTAAACTAAATAAAAAAATAATTTAACCCTCCAATTTGCTCTTTAAATGAAAAAGGCTTTCTAGCACTCAGAAAGGGGAATGTGTGGGGACTGTTCAAATTTTCCAGATCTGATTGGTCCAAGTTTAGAAACAATTGCTTCTTAAAAGTGAAATCACTTCCTGTTTTCCCCAGTTGAGCCAAAACTCACACAGCTCTTGCTAAATGATCATCCTTCGGTGAATCAATCAGATTTTTCAGTGGAATACTTTAGCGCAGGGATTCCCACAGTGTGGTGCGTGCACCCCAGGGGGTGCGCGAGCTGCCGCTAGGGGGTGCGCAAGGTGAAAAGTGTAATGGCTGCGGAGCTCAGAAAAGTCTGTCATATGTCACCATTAGCGTAGCCAGAAACTCATTTGTGGGTGGGCCAAAGAAAAAGTAAGTGGGCCCAATAAATGTAATTGAAAACAAGTATATTTTTGTGTGTGTGTCCTCCACATGTGCCCTAGCCCAAATGTTTCCATAATAGATGTAGAACAACATGCTAATTTGTTGTTTTTGTCCAGTTGCTTGTATTGCATCATTATCTGTGTTGCTTGTTTTCTGTTGCTTTAATGCTCATGTTGATTTAGTTTAATATTTTTGTAGAAAGAAGCAAAGGTGAGCTACAGCAGGAGCCTGCAGCAGAGGTCTTCGAATCAACCATAGAGATTGGTAATAGTTATTCACCTTTTTTGTTCTGGAGCATGCTAACCAAATTAAACAGATTTGTAATATGCTTGATGCATCAAGCAAGCTCTGGGGATGAGCTAAGAAACCACATGTTCTACCCATGCATTGACAGACTGCTAAGTGAGCTGGAGAGAAGATTTAGTGGTGTTGGCACTGATCTGATGAAAGGCATACAATGCTTGTCATCCAGCAGCAGAGGACTTCATGTGTGGACAATCATTAGAACTAATTGCCAATCACTACAAGATCTCACTCAGAAAAGAAGAGATTGTAGTTGCAAAACACTTCCTGATGGAAAAAAAAGAAGGCACCATTTCAGATGTGGCAAGTGTGTTTCTTCTTCTTAACCCTACCATGTTTCCAGGCCTCAGAGCAGTGTTTCAAGTGGCATTAACCATTCCTGTGAGCAGTTGCAGCTGTGAAAGGTCTTTCAGTGCTCCGCGTCGCCTACACACATGGCTAAGGCCTAGTCCACACGTAGCCGGGGTTTTTTAAAAACGAATATCCGCCCCTCCAAAAACTTGCATCCACACCACCGCGTTTTAAAAACAAACTCTGTCCACACGTACCCGGATAAATACGTGATTAAGGACATGCCAGACCTCTAGGCGGCAGTACTTCCCCCGTTCTTAACCTCGTCCTTCGTCTGTGGTCTTCCGCAAGTAGCAGTAATTCCGCTTGCAAAAACAAACAAGCAGAAAGCGCTTGGACAATTGATGGATCGGGTAGTGACCAGTGTTGGGAGTAACGCCGTTTAAGTATAACGGCGTTTCTAACGGCGTTCTTTTATAGGTAACAGAATAATCTAATTAATTACTTTTCCCGCCGTTGCAACGCCGTTACCGTTACTGGGGACGGAAGGTTGTGCGTTACTATGTGCTTGTCGAACGTTGAGCAGCAGTGTGAGGCTTTCTGACCGCCACACTTCAGCTGCAGCCAGGGAGAGAGAGGTGTCGGTAACGCACTTACAAACACGATGATGATTGGCCGGGTGGGCGGAGACCCTCACCGTCTCAGTCGCTGCATTCTGTAGACACAACGGGAATAACTCCGTTTAAAATAACCGCGTTAATAAAAATATTTCTTTCTGTAACGAGCAAACTAATTAATTACGTCTTCTTTTATCAAAACGTCGTTTCTGTTACTGATAAGAAAATGCGTGCGTTAAGCTGCGCGGTGTGTTGAAGCTGTCATCATCAGCTGATCAGGGGCTAAAGAGGTAGATGTTTTCATCCAAGTGCGTCACGGACCGTGAAGAACGAGGAAGACGTGATGAATAGTCTACGGCTGCAGACCCCCCGCAGATTCGCTGCTGCAGCAGCAAATCTGCGGATCTGCAGCCGTGCCCTTAGCGTGACAGCGGGACGTCCCGAAGGTCCGCTCACCTGTTCACCACTCAGACGTCCTGATCTTCTACCTTCCTAGATCATCCAGCTGTAACCTGTTTCTGAACATGTCTTTAGTCCTGCTGTAACACTGATGCATCAGTCTCAGACGTCATGGAGCTCAGGTGTTATTAGAACTACCTGTGTGTGTTTACCACCCAGCTTCAGCTCTTCTGTGGTTGGGTCTGACCCAAGTTAGTACATTTAAGTCCTCCATCAGGCTTGTGCCTCTTCTAGTGTCATTTTAAAGGATTTTATTTATTTATTTAACCGTTACTAGATTAATGCTAGTAAAACACACAATTATGTGAAGCTGGAAAAATTAGAATACTGTGCAAAATTACATTTATTTCTGTAATTTAACTAGACTGAGAGACCGTTTAAAGGCTCGGGAACCTTTACAGGTGTTTCTATTTGCAATTTTAAATTATAGCTGATTGGGGTCTTGTTAAATATCACACAGTGACATTTTAATAGTCTAGATTAGTGTAATGTTCCTGTTAGTAGTTCCTCCTGTTAAGTGCGTATTTGTTTAAATTATTCAGGTTTATATAAAACATTTGGACATACATTTTATTATGTTCAGTCATTAGTCATTTATGTTTTACTATTGTAGTAATTCTTGCATTCTTTAATGAAAAAAGTAACTAAGTAGTTACTTTTGTGGGTAATTAGTTACTTTTATGATCTTGTAACTCAGTTAGTAACTGAGTTACTTTTTTGACAAAGTAATCAGTAACTATAACTAATTACTTTTTTAAAGTAACGTTCCCAACACTGGTAGTGACAGAGCGCAGCTCTGAGGGCATCCATGCTGTCGGCTAGTGTAAACACAGGTCGCACACGTGATGTCAGCATTTTTTTGTCGCGGAAAGTGACGTTGCGGACCTTCAAACTCCGGTTTTGTCTGTCCACACGCAGACACCCAAAACGGAGAAAACACAGATCTTCACTTTGGCCGGAGTTTTTAAAAAGATCCGTTTTCGTGTGAAAAAACGCCGTTTTCGTGTGGATGACAGGCCAAAACGTAGAAAAATATCTACGTTTTGGCAGATCCCCGGCTACGTGTGGACAGGGCCTCAGACTGACCATGGGTAAGAATAGCCTGGCTGTGATGGCCATTGAGAGGGATGCTGTGCATTCTGCAGACCATAACAGAGTCATAGACAGGTTTGCAATGATCAAACCAAGAAGGTACACTTTAATGATCCCAAACTCTTGTAATAAATAAAAGAAAAAGACAGACTGTGACAAACACAGTTTATTCCAGAGCAGTAACTAAAATATGCCACTTTCTTTATTTGTTTATTTTACTTATTTCTTCTTTACTTTCTTGCTTTTCTGTGATATTGGAAATAAATACCTACTGAAATATTGTTTGACTTTGCAGTAATTTTTCACTGTTTAACATGCATGCATTGGAAACTAAATTTAGGCTACTTACTTTGTATAATTCTCTCTCTCATATATATATATATATAAGCCTATAATTAATTTTTACTCAGTAAAGGATATGATTTAAAATGTAGCGAATTACAATTCTTTTTTAAAAACTTACTCAAGTAAAAGTAATAGTACAGATTTTAAAAACGACTTAAAAAGCATAAGTATACAAAAAAGCTACTCAATTACAGTAACGTGAGTAAATGTAATTTGTTACTTTCCACCTCTGTCTTCCCCCCCCCCCCCCCCCCCCCCCCCCCATCCAACGACTGGGCAGTTGAAATGGGGGACCAAAGGCAATGCACGGGCCCTTTTGTCCTCCTTCGCTGTCTGCGCTAATTAAATAATTCTCCAGATTAGTGCATTTATTCATAGACCTGTAGGGAACCTTGTGCTAAGCTCCTGATGGGCTGGCCTCGGTCACCTGACGCCCCCCCCCCCACACACACACACACACCGCTGATCGGCTCCACCCACTCGGCGGGTGTGTGAAGAGGATCCAGCTCCCCACTTCAAGGTTATCTTCTGCAGGACGGTCCTGTTGTCTGATCCTATGGGATTTCTGATCACCCTGGTGTTTCTCTGGGCTGCTGTCGGAGGTAAGCGACCATCACATCATGAGTGGTTGAATCAGCTAAACGACCTCCTGTCGGACCAAGCAAGAGGCACTGAACTGAAGCCAGACGAACCGAGCCGTTTACCGGAGCAGCAGATCCACGCAGCGTCACAGGCGCCGTTATGTAACGTGAACACGCGCCAACATGTTGTTTCTGACGCCGTTTTATGTGCACGGAGGGCAAATCAAAGCGACAGAACGCACATTTACATAATCAGGAGAGTCAGGTGAGCGGGACGTCTTGCGCGTGCAGCAGCGCCACGCGCACGCAGCAGGTGAAGGCTCAGACCATCTTCCTCCCACAGAGACGCGCGTGTAAAAACAGGGTCGCCGTGATCTGCAGCTCTCTGTGCGCGTACGTGTGTGTGCGTGTGTGCTGTCGCAGCATGACCCTGAAATAAAACCCATAAACCCCAGCGAGCCTTCTGTCATACACAAGGAACACGCTGTTCCTCTTCAACACAACAGCTCTTCTCTGCATCACACATGCGTGGGTGAGTGTGTCGCCCTCGTCCACGCAGATCATCCAGGTTTGTGTTAGATCCAGGAGACCCTACACATAACTCGGAAACACCTGGATGTCTGCTAAAAGCCTAAAACCATAAACCTGACTTCTCAGCTCAAGATGATCTAAATCAGGGAATAGATGTGAAGTTCTACCTGTGAAATACTTCAGCTCAGATGTCACAGTGATTTTTTACTGTGCTGAACCCCCAACACACACACACACACACATGCACGCGCGCGCACACACACACACACACACACACACACAATTAGAGCAAAAAAGTTGATAAATGCCTTCATGTGAGCAGTTGCTGGCCTTCGTAACGTGGATTATACAATTTAACCCAGCTGTACATAAGTGGATCACAACCTCCATCACCACCATAGATCACTACCTCCATCACCACCATAGATCACTACCTCCATCACCACCATAGATCACTACCTCCATCACCACCATAGATCACTACCTCCATCACCACCATAGATCACTACCTCCACCAACACCATAGATCACTACCTCCATCTCCACCATAGATCACTACCTCCATCACCACCATAGATCACTACCTCCATCACCACCATAGATCACTACCTCCATCACCACCATAGATCACTACCTCCATCACCACCATAGATCACTACCTCCATCACCCGCATGGATCACTACCTCCATCACCACCATAGATCACTACCTCCATCACCACCATAGATCACTACCTCCGTCACCACCATAGATCACTACCTCCATCACCACCATAGATCACTACCTCCATCACCACCATAGATCACTACCTCCATCACCACCATCTCTCCATCACTACCTCCATCACCACCATAGATCACTACCTCCATCACCACCATCTCTCCATCACTACCTCCATCACCACCATAGATCACTACCTCCATCACCACCATAGATCACTACCTCCATCACCACCATCTCTCCATCACTACCTCCATCACCACCATAGATCACTACCTCCATCACCACCATAGATCACTACCTCCATCACCACCATAGATCACTACCTCCATCACCACCATAGATCACTACCTCCATCAGTACACATCGGTAAGAAGTTTGAGGCACTTTTTTAAACAGGTTGAGGACTCAAATGTTAAACTTGTTTCTACACATACTTAAAAAGTATTTGACTGTATTACTTTCCAAGCTACTGTTTGGTAACTGCAGATTTGTTATATTTTACAAGGTCAGAAAAAATAAATGTTGCCTTTCGGTCAAAAGATTGTTTCTGTTTACAGTTTTTGAATCACTTTATTTTACCTTGTAAATTAGCATTTTTTTTGCATGACCAGTTTAAAGTCAAATAAAAATTTTCCAATAGCTTTAACTAACTTGCACAACAAAGTAGTTCATCCTGGAACTGACACTCTTTGTTAATATTGATTGTGAATCGAGTTAAATCGAGAATCGATTCTGAATCGAATCGGCACCCCGAGAATCGGAATGGAATCAAATCGTGAGTCGCTCTGACATTCACATCCATAATTTCTAACCTTTTTGCCACTAGTGTTTTAATATCATGACTGTCTGTTTTATCTTACTCATCTTTAATTGTTTCTTTGTATTTCTGAACAAGAGATAATCGGGACCTATTACAGCCACTCTATAAAGCAGAAGCTGCAACCTTTGGGAAGCACTGATCTGATCCACGTGTTGGGACAACTCCTTCTCCATCAGATTAGCTACATTCATGACTAGCTTTAGAAGTGGGCAGTACAGCTGTACGGATATCTTCATGGCAATAACATTTGTGATATGATTTGCAGTCCTAGTGGTGATCTTGACTTTCAGGATTTGGTTGTGATGAGGTTATTTCTGTGAGAAATGCTCTGATGTCGTGGTGTTGTGTGCCTTCGATGTGCAGGCTGGGGTTAGCTCAGGTGGAAAACTAATCTAAAGCGGTTTTGCAGAGGAAGGACAGGAGGTTAAGCTTCTTTGTGGTGGTGTTGTACCAAAGTACCTTCACTCTGCCTAATGAGGGAACAACTCCACCCACACCCAAACAGGATCACAGAATCCCTCGTTAATCTGTGGTTCTGGTGGAGGAGAGCCGTGCATCTTCTCCTGCTGCAGACATGTCTACTGAGCTGATTTTTATTCTGTTCCTCCATGTTCTTGTTTCCCAGTGGGAAGCCGGCCAGTGACATCACCCCTTAATGATGCAAAGGTCAGATATACTTGTTTTTCACTTTCATCCTTATTCATGCTTTTTGTCACATGACTATTGATGTTTAGTTCTTTTGGGGTTATACCAACAGGTTGAATGTATAATTCAGGAGACGCTGAATGAAGAAGGGTCTCACCATGAATGTGGACCACAGCTAGAAGGTAAACATCCTGCTGGCTCTGGTTAACCCAAATCCAGATCAAATCAAAGTTTATGCATCTATCATCTCTAATGCCATGCTACGTAGCGGGAAAACAGGTGAACAAAACTGCTCTGTGTTTCAAAAAAGAACTACAGCATGGAATTATGCAACTATCACTTTAAAACAACAACTTGTTGACCAAAGTGCTCACCAAAGATAAAAACAGGTTCCAAAAGAGCCAAAAGGAATGTAAACTGGCTTCAGAAAAACAGCAAGTAACACACAATGCTTCATTTACTGTAGTGGAACAAACAAATAATTAAGCAAATATAAAAATAAAGGGACAGTGTCACACCTTAAAGGGCAAGGAATAAAAATACAGGTGCTGGCCAGTAAATTAGAATATCATCAAAAGGTTGAAAATATTTCAGTAATTCCATTCAAAACGTGAAACTTGTACATTATATTCATGCAATGCACACAGACCAATGTATTTCCAATGTTCATTACATTTAAATTTGATATTCATAAGTGACAACTAATGAAAACTCCAAATTTGGTATCTCAAAAAATTAGAATATTCTGAAAAGGCTGAATATAGAAGACACCTGCTGCCACTCTAATCAGCTGATTTACTCAAAACACCTGCAAAGGCCTTTAAAAGGTCCCTCAGTCTTGTTTTGAAGGCACCACAATCATGGGGAAGACTTCTGACTTAACAGCTGTCCAAAAGACAATCATTGACACCTTGCACAAGGAGGGCAAGACACAAAAGGTGATTGCTAAAGAAGCTGGCTGTTCGCAGAGCTCTGTGTCCAAGCACATTAACAGACAGGCGAAGGGACGGAAAAAATGTGGTAGAAAAAAGTGTACAAGCTCTAGGGATAACCGCACCCTGCAGAGAATTGTGACGACAAACCCATTCAAAAATGTGGGGGAGATCCACAAAGAGTGGACTGCAGCTGGAGTCAGCGCTTCAAGAACCACCACGAGGAGACTCATGAAAGACATGGGATTCAGGTGTCGCATTCCGTGTGTCAAGCCACTCTTGAACAAGAAACAGCGCAAGAAGCGTCTCGCCTGGGCCAAGGACAAAAAGGACTGGACTGATGCTGAGTGGTCCAAAGTTATGTTTTCTGATGAAAGCAAGTTCTGCATTTCCTTTGGAAATCAAGGACCCAGAGTCTGGAGGAAGAGCGGAGAAGCACAGAATCCACGTTGCATGAGGTCCAGTGTAAAGTTTCCACCGTCAGTGATGGTGTGGGGTGCCATGTCATCTGCCGGTGTTGGCCCACTCTGTTTCCTGAGGTCCAGGGTCAATGCAGCCGTCTACCAGGAAGTTTTAGAGCACTTCATGCTTCCTGCTGCTGACCAACTTTATGGGGATGCAGACTTCACCTTTCAACAGGACTTGGCACCTGCACACAGTGCCAAAACCACCAGCACCTGGTTCAAGGACCATGGTATCCCTGTCCTTGATTGGCCAGCAAACTCGCCTGACCTTAACCCCATAGAAAATCTATGGGGTATTGTGAAGCGGAGGATGCAATACGCTAGACCCAACAATGCAGAGGAGCTGAAGACGACTATCAGAGCAACCTGGGCTCTCATAACACCTGAGCAGTGCCACAGACTGATCGAGTCCATGCCACGCCGCATTACTGCAGTTATTGAGGCAAAAGGAGCCCCGACTAAGTATTGAGTGCTATACATGCACATTCTTTTCATGTTCATTCTTTTCAGTTGGCCAACATTAGAGAAACAAACATTTTTTCATTGGCCTTTAGAATATTCTAATTTTCTGAGATACCAGATTTGATGTTTTCATTGGTTGTCACCTATAAATATCAAATTTAAATGTAATGAACATTGGAAATACATTGGTCTGTGTGCATTGCATGAATATAATGTACAAGTTTCACGTTTTGAATGGAATTACTGAAATATTTTCAACCTTTTGATGATATTCTAATTTACTGGCCAGCACCTGTATGTTTTAAAAACTGATTTAAAACCAGTCAGATCTGAGGCAGTTCTAATATTAGTTCAGGAGTAAAGACCCGATCACCTCCATGTTTACATTTGGATCCAGGGAACCCTTTTAGTTGTGAGCAGTGGGCCTAAGGGCTCAAATAGGATGGTGCCAGTTTGTTTAGTGATTTAAAAACTAAACAGAAAAAAAGCCTTCGCTAACTTAGAAAGGGCTTTGGCTAGAGGCCGACCAGTATTGGTTTTTCTGTTGCCGATACTGATGCCAATATGTTAAGGTCACAGTCAGTCAATGGACGATTTGTGCTGCCGATACCATGGGCAGATTTTTATGGCTGATGCATTTAGATGTTTCTACCTTATTTTCATGCTAAGATGTCAAGAAGAAGGAGAGATCTTTTCTATAGCCCCTCTCAAGATAAAAATCATGAGGCGCTTCACAAAAATGTAAAAATATAAAAAAAATCAATCAATCAATCAATACTTTATTAATCCCAGAGAGAAATTAGAGTCAGTACACACAATTCAGAGATCAGACATACATGGGCAAGACACATGACAAGAATTGGTGACTGTGGTCATTCGCAACCCGAGTCGCGCTACCTTAATAGCGATAAGAGATAAGAGGGTAACATGAGGATTGGTTCAGGTGGAGGGAAAAAAAAGGTACTTCAGTTACCCTCCCACCAGGAGGGCAGCTTTGCTCTGCAAAAAACACCTCAGACAGACATGCAACAGACTTCAGACAACACAACATGACATGAGACTCCAATAGGAAGGCGGGGGGGGGGGGGGTTCCTGTTTCCCCCAGCGAGAGCAGCCATCTACGGCGCTCAGCCACTGCACAGTCATAGGTGGGAGGAAGATCTTTGGAGAAGCAAAAAGCACATTGACTCTTCCAGTTGATGACCTCGCCAGGCTGAACTGCACCAATCCGAAGGCGAGGGGGGGGTGTCAGGTTTTCACAGCATCTGTCTGCATTCCTTCGTGGGGGTTTTAGTTGCTTGCAGCTCAAGGCTACCAGGGTGTCAGATTTGGATAACAAGACTCTGTTTGGGTCAGGCTGAGATAATTTTCCTCTCTGCCTTCAGTCTTTAAACTGATCGTTCCAGTCCTTCAGTGAAGCCAATTTTGAGTTTTTAAACCTGTCCATACCGTCCGGTGACTCTCTCCGAGATGACATCCATTTTGCGCACTAATACCGGTATCGCAGCTAGAACATTGTCCAGCTTACGATTCACCTCGAGTAACGTCCCAGTCTGAGAAGTCTCCACACGGACGGTGCTTTCTGTGGGTGCGGGTCGCCCTCCAATCGCTCCCGTCTTCCCAAATTTCCAGAAAATCAGATATCCTCCCACTCCAATCAGAATAAATCCAGTGATCATCAGGCCGAATATCCACACGTCTTCGATGTCCTCATTGGACAGCTGGGAGAGACATACGATCTTCCATTCCCTCCAGGAATCCAGCATATACCCCACCGGGTGTGTCCCCTGTGGGCATGTGGGAGCCCCCTGCTCCGTTCTCATTGCTGAAAAAATCTTATCAATCGCATTGAATGACCAATTTATCAAAGAATTTAGAACATGATTAAAAATATATTTAAAATGAGAAAAAAATAGACAATTGTGATTAAAAATGTAAAGAAAGAGAGAGAGTGAACAGGAAAGAGGGAAATCAGTGGATCCTGAGGAAGGTGGAATAGGTGGGGAGAGCAGAATAAAGAGAGGGTGATGAAGGTCATACAAAACCAGCCTAAACAGGTGAGTTTAAAGGAGATCACTGAGTCCACTGATCTCAGGCTCAGGGGGAGAAAGTTCCAGAGTCTGGGGGCCACAGCAGCAGATGATCTGTCACCTTTGACCTTTAGCCTGGTGCTGCACAAACAGTAGGTAATAACATCAGTTGATGCACACAGTTTGTGAAGCTGAATCTGTTTTGAAGCCTGAATTTAACCCGCGCGTAAATCTTTATTTTTGCACTGCTGAGTGTTAAAATCAGACATCAAACTAAAGTTTTTCAACCACATCAGTTAACTGACCAAGTTTTACACGTTCAAAACTGGTCAATAAAAATAAATTCTAGTTGAAAATAATTTTTAGAGCATTTATTATGCAGATGAATTTCAGGAATGGAAATAAACATTTAAATGAAATTGTGCAGCAGCTCTGGACTGCTCTTGGATGTGCCTGGCTTTAAATTGGCTTCACTAAGAAGGCATATCGGCCGATGCCGATATATAAAAAATGTCAAATATCAGCCTGACGTATTGTCCAAACCATGGACGTATTTTTCACTTTAGAAGTGGGGGGGACACGGAGTGGGGAGGGGGGGGGGGGGTGTGAATCTTGACAGTATGCTCTAATAGGAAACAGGCTTCAACACAAACGGTTGTTTTCTGCTTGGTCCTAGAGCTCAACTAGTGTCAATTTAATATAGCGTAATATTGTTTTTGGATGGTAAAAAGTGCAGGGGTCAAACCTTGACTTTGGAAAAAGTGGGGGGGACATGTCCCCCCTGTCCCCCCCCCAAAATTACGTCCATGGTCCAACCGATATATCGGTCTACCCCTAGCACTGACTCTCTCGGTGTCACAGATAATGAGCAAAATGGTGGTAGCTGAGGGACTTTCACATCTGTAGTAGAGTCAGAGTAAAACTCATCATGAAATAGCAAAAAAATATATATTTTCAATATTTGATCAGTTTTTAATCTGCCTTTAAGGAATATTGTGTCTGCTTGATTGCATTTATTTAAAAGTGAATTCACTTACAGAACTAATAAAAAGACAAGCTGTTGTGTCTTGTCTCCACAGAGGAACTTGATGAAGTCCAGAGACATCAGGGTCTTCTCAGGGAACTGCAGAGACTGGCCCATGATGGTATGCACTCATTCACACACAAATCCCTTCTTTTACTCGGCTGATGCTGACTTCTGTAACCCAAACTTTGCAGAGAGAGAAAAAGAGCGGCAGGATGAGAGGGAGAGGTACGAGTACAACCTGGCTGATGATGAGAGCGACGATGAGCAGAGGAACGATGAGGAGGATGACACCAAGAGGGAGACGTCAGAGGAGCCACCGTCAAATGGGGCAGATGATAAAAAGGAGAGAACCGAGGAGCTCGAGGAGCTGCTCAAAGGGGAACTCTATATAAAAGACAAGGAAGGAAAACAAGATGAGGAGCTTGATGAACAGCAGAAAGAAGAAGTGAAGGAGAACCAGAAAGACTCTGGAGCAGTGCTACAGAAGGGGGTGGAGGACAAGGAGATAGAAGGAGCAATGTCGAAGGACGTGGAGAGTCAGAGGATGGAAGAGTGGAAGAAAAATGAGGAGGAGCTGATGGTGGAGAAAGAGAAGGTGGAGAAGGAGCTTAAGGTGCTCAATGAGCAGGACCACAGGAGCCGACCACAGAAGGCGAAGGAGAGGAAGGAGAAGCAGGAGGAACTGGATGAACTCATTAGAAAAATGAAACAGGTGAAGGAGGAAGATAAGGAAGCAAATAGAGGAAAGGAGGGAGAAGAGCAGAACAAAGAGGAAGGGAAAAGGTCACATGAGGAAGTTGGAAAGGAAGTTAGGAGGAAGAGCGACACGTCAGAGGTGAAGGAGCCGCAGCAGAAGAGGGTGATGGAGAAAGCCAGTGATGAAGCTACACAGCAGTTTGAACGTGAGCGGCTCAAGGATGAAGAGGAGGATGACGATAGGGAGGATGAGGATGAGGATGAATATGTTAGAGAGGATGAAGAGGACCAGGAGGAGGAGGATAATGAAGACGAGGATGAAGGAGAGGTGAGGTGATGCTACGTTTTTTATGGAAATAATGTTCTTGAGCTAAAGTATTTAGAAAATAATCTAACTTGCTTTATGGAGTTTACAAAACGATCTCTTTCTTTGTGACATGATGTCATTTCCATACGTGTTTAATAGCGTGGGAGAGGAAGACAGCAGGGCCTGGTTTTAGTTAATAAAACATTCACAGGCAGCTTCACGCAGCCTCAGCGAGAGCGTCATTAGGCCACACGAGCAGGAAGAGGAGGAATCAGCATGTGGTGCGTCGTTTTACACTGACACGTGTATTTCTAACCACACTCTACTTCAATTAGCTATTCAGAGTTTTCCCTGTTTCAGGAACTTTAGGAATAATTAAAAGTGACAGTCTTACCCTGTTCTGTGATGTAATGTAGGTAATTAGTCATGTTTTCTGCTAAACCTGTGCCTCATCCAGTAGACCCCCCTGCAGTTTGAACTGACCAGCAGTTAGCATTAGCCGTCAGCGGTACACATCTGCTTACGTACAGATGACGATCCCTTTTCTCTTGGACTAGTGAGTCGTTAGAACACATATACATATGAATATCAGCACAACATAAGAACAATAATTGTAAAACAATGCTTTAACTTTGGCTACAGATGTTCGTTCATAACTGAGAGAGGGGCGCTTCAGTCGGATCACGAGACTTTAAAAGGACCAGGGTGGGGAAAAAATCTGATTCAACCTTTTAAAACAACACGTGTGACTTCTTAAATTCATCCTGAGATAAATATTTTCAATGGCATAGTTTGAATCTCAACAAGTTCCTCTACATCAGTACTGTTGGTTTCTTGGAAGAAAACAACACCATAACCTCACATTAAGACAACACAACATGCAGCTTAGCTAGCAGGCTAACACAGCGCTAACCTGTCTCCACAGGAGAGCGAAATGTCTTCAACTTGGTGGTATTTTAAACCGGACAATGAAGGTAGAGCTACAGCCACTTTAACGTGTGCACACTGGGCATTCAACATGTTGGAAAGGACAGCTGCATGAAAAGCAGCCTTCAAAAGAAACTTTCTTCTACGGGTTTTTTCCCTCGGGCGTAGGCCACGGCTAATTATCGGCCGCCGTGTGAGTCCTTACTTGTTGCATGTTACTACTGTAAACGGTACTTTCAGTCTCGTTCTTGCTGCTTAAATGAATCTGTTATTCAGTTGATCGGTGATATTACACAACTCTAGTAAATCGCTGCTGTGTTGTGGGGTGACACACGTGATCACCAGGAGAATAAAGGTAGAAAACAAGCTAGCTTTTCACCGTTTTTCTGCTTGGGGGCAAAACGATGGAGACCAAGTATCTAGCATAACAAAGTCTTGTTGGATCGCTGCTGTAAGGCAACCAAACATCACCTTCTGGAGTATTTTCATTCTGGTAAATTACATCATCGTTTCTTTCCTTCAACTGCGACACACACACACACACACACACACACACACACACACACACACACACACACACACACACACACACACACACACACACACACACACACACACACAAACACACACACACACACACACACACACACACACACACACACACACACACACACACACACACACGCACGCGCACACACACACACACACACACACACACACACACATACCGGTGAGCTAATGCGGCTGCACTGACACACACACACAACTTCTCCTGCTACACTTCTTCTGTAGGATGGCAAATTCGATTGTTTTCCTAGAAAAACCAACAAATAAATGTTTACCTCTCATCCAGATGTTTACATCCGCTCACAACACAAACAAGAAAGCTGAAAATGTCGGTTATGCAGAACTGCAGCAGTAACAATATGTCATGGGTGCTCCGGTCTTGGGTCTTTCATATGGATCAGAACCATTTATAATGCTGATTTTGTCCACATAGCGGTCCCCGACGTCTTTACATAACATATCCCTGTGTATTCCACATCCTTTTTGGGATTTTATAATGTTGTTTAACACTTTCTTTCACCCAAATCCTCTTCTTCTCTGCGACAGTACGGTTTATTTGCACTCCACAAGCTTCCATCCCAGAATGCTGTGTGTAATCACGTGGGATCACAAGCCCTATAAAGTCCCAGTTCACAGTGACATCGCTAACAAAAACACGGAGCCAGCCAACACTGAAGGATACGTTGATAAACACAGAGTAATTGCTAACAGATAGCAAAAGTTTGGGGTCTCTCATTCTGGAGCGCCTTGGCTGACCGTGCCGGATGGCCCGTAGCAACAGTTGTGCAGAAAATGTTAGCCAGCTAGCTGTGGTGCTGCTTGCATGCCCCGTCGCAGGAACATGCATCACTCAATACAGCTGCATAATGAGGACATAAACAGTTTGAAATTTGAGAAACATTGCTACAGTAGATACATTCATAATCTGAACACATTTTTTATCAGCATAAATGAGTGAAGGAAGGACGGAGCGAGGGATCAAGAGGCGGATTTGTGCCGCGTCTGCAGTGATGCCATCCACATATATTCATGTCCATAGGCTCAAATTAAAAGGTCTTTTTTCCAAATGGGAGGTTACCACCACCTCCATTTTGACCGTGCCGCACGTCCAGTCACAACCAGACAATCCAGAAATGGGAAAGGAGGTGGAGCTGAGGGTGGGGTTGTTATGGTTGGAACAAATTAACCAATGTAGCGTCTTAGCTAACCCAAGAAGCTGAGAAGGGCTTTGGGAACCAAGCTATCCCACCTGCAACGGCAGATTGGCTTCCGTGTGAGGCTGTAGTCATGCTGGTCGCCTGTGGAGATCTATTATGGACCGGGACTAAGCCGAACCTCAGACCGCTGCAATCGCAGCCGGGCGCCATGGCCTTTTACATCAGCTCCTGCTCCACAGTTGCAGATCAGCGGGACATTAGCTACATGCTAACCTGAAGCTGACAGTTTTTCTGGGCATTTTCAGCAAGAAAAATGCGGTAGAGCGACTCTAAAGGCACCTCTGGACTGCTTATACGAAATCGTAACTAGGTAAGCTGACCGAACATATTGGGGTCGCAGAATGATGGGGGCTGGAGTGACGTGGCGTTGAAAGATGTTGCTTTCATCTGTAAATATGGAAGTGGTGAGAACCAATAGTGTGTGGCTGCAGACCCGGAGACCGCAGATACAGCGCCCTCTAGAGGATGTGTGTCTATTTGCAACTGTCGATTCAAAATATCTCGTTCCATGTGAACATTTTTCAGAAGTTAGAAATGTCAGAATTTTATTAAAGCTGCATAAAAAGATTTAATTGCTGGTGAAGTGCAACGTCAAACTAATAAATAATATACCAGTATTGTTTAATCTAACAGAAATATATTTTTGTGTGTTACTTTACATACACACTCTTGTGTGTATATAATGTCGACATGTGTACAGTGGTGGTGAATGTCTCCTCAGTCCAATGTAGGACACAAATATCACGATCGTGCGATCCAAAGGAATACTTTTTTGTTATTTGTGTTAATTTTTTTGCAGTTTTTTTAACTTGTTGAGGACGCACTGGGAAATTCCTCTAGCTCTTTTTTTCTCTGCACATGATTGATGAGCTCACGTTGCTGACCAGGCTCCAGCAGGACTACAGACAGTGTAGCGTGATGTTCTTTACAGAAACATGGATGAATGAGCTCTTAGCTGACTCTAAAGCTTGGTTTATGCTTGACACGTTCACTTTCCGCGCGGTGATGTGGCTCGCGGATGGAACGCGCTTCACAACTCGCAGCGTTTATGGTTCATGCGGCTCGTCTCTGCGGTGAGCCAATATTCTCCCAAACTGTAGGGGGCAGCATGGAGCTCTACGGCATGCATCCAACACTACACCATAGTAGAAGTAAAAATTACTGTTTACAACATGGCATTCCAGCATTTTTAACAGTGTTCTCGTCTTTTCCGACAGTGCGAGCTATTTCTCTCCAAGAATTATTTACAACTACATGTTGATCACGGTGATCTCTGAGAGCTGAATCCTAGAAATGTCTGTATTTACGAAACTCTGCCATACTAGTTCTTGCCGGTCCGCCATGTTTTCCGCGTCCGTCCGTCCGCGTGGTTAGAAATTTTCCGAGGTGCGCGTTGCGGAATTCTTGGGCCGTGCGGAGACGCGGTGGAGGGGCGTGGTTGTTAAAATGACGCAACTTTTCCGCGCAGAGCCGTGCGGACCTCGCGGACGCGTCAAGCATAAACCAACCTTTAGGTTTCCCTGCAAGAATTAAAACTCATGCGGGCCGACAGGAGCTCTGAGCGGAGCGGTAAGCGCCAAGGTGGGGTCTGGAGAGATGGTGCAACCCGGTAGCTTAGTGAACTAGACCAAATTCTTGCTTTGCGTAGTTTGGTCTAGGAACGCTCCACTGGCCCCAACAACATTCTGGCTGGCCAATCACAACTCTCTAGAGGGGTTTCAAACACAAAGAGCTGTGATTGGTCCATAATGGTGGGCCAATTAGTGCTCTATCTGCTTAGTGAACAAATCTGAGCTTTATCCGCTTTGTGGGCCAATCAGGACACTCTATATGGCTGGTGGGTGGGATGATGCAACAGAGTGAAACAAGAGTATGTCACATTCATTGTCCAGTGGAATGCGGAGATCATTTGAAAGACGACGGTAGAACCCGCCCCACAACCGAGAGCCGTCAATGGAGCGTGGCCAGACTAAATAGTACATTTATTTAGTCTGGATTGCCAGGCTAACAACCCGCCGCATGTGACCATTAAACAACAACTCTGCGCAAAAGACATTGAGTCACCGGCTGTTGGTCTCCGGCCCTATTACATCCCGAGAGAGTTTTCACATGTAAGAGCGTTTAATGTGTACTTCCCCCTCTCGGCTGACACAGTCTCGTGCTACGTTCTCGAATAATAAACCCGTTAGCCCCTGAGCTGACATCCCTGCTGAATGATAAGACAAAAGCTTTCATGACTGGAGACAGAGGAGCAGAGACGGGTCCAGAAGGAGCTCAAACGTAAGATCAGACGGGCCAAAGACGGCTCGGACACAGTTTAGGTTATTTTCACATCAATACCATCACTCACTATCTGAACAGAGCTGCTTTCTTTAACCTTTACCTTTGTATAATAAAAACTTTAGCCTAAACTAACTAAGTTTTCTTCTTTCCGAAAATCAGAACAATTTCATACTTTTATGAAAAAGTTGCCCTATAACCTTTTCTTTTACATCATCCACAATTAATTTAATACTTGTTTCATTTGCCAACTTGTGAATGATAAAATCTAACTAAACGTGCACTTCAGACCAGTCACTAAGCTAAGTTAGCTCCTAGCTTAGCCGACATGTGGTGATAAATGCATCAACTCACTTTAAACTTAACACAAGAAAACGTTCTTTTTGCTGTCAAACTTCACTCGACAACTCCATTTAGTTTTCAAAGTTTGGTAGATAAGATACTTGGATACCATTAAACATGTGCTTACTTACTCTCTGATCGTCCTCCATCTTGGAACGCCGCCACAAAAACAATTCAAGCCTGAATTAACAGTCGGCCTGAATCTACCCTTCCCGTGAGAACGGCTTAAGGTGCGATAATTTTATCCACCTCCAGATGGTGCTGTTGGATCAAATAAACGGATTGTAGCTTTAATACAACTAACCACAAACTAAAGACTCAAACTAAATGTTTAACAATGAGCAGATTTGAGCATTCTGGTCTTGCAAAGTCACCGCTGAGGTAGTGAGCTCCAGATTTTTATGCCTTTGTTTCTTTTTTGTCGTTTTTCTACCAACAGGAGCTGCTGGAGATTGAAGCAGAGTTACGAAAAGTAGCTGCAGAGCTGAGGGAGCTTCGCCAAGGATAACACACACACACACACACACACACACACACACACACACACACACACGCACAGGCATTATCCTGGTAACAACCTTTAGTGTGTTTGAAGCTCGGAGGAATGTCGTTACACATGATTCTGTAACTGTTGACAGCAGAAGCTGTTTCATACATTTTTAACAGCAGCTCTGTTTCTTCAGCTGAATGTGTTTTTATAGCGGAAAAAGATGCAAAGTCAAACAGAAATATTTGTCTGAGTAGATGTTTGTAAGGTCCACAGGGTCTCTTCAGTTGCACTTTCAAAAGCTCATGCACTTTTTTTCAAATGTTAATATTTGCCGCGAAAAACTAGCGATGGGTGTACCCATGGGGAGAAAAGTTACATCCTCGGTGGTGATGTGTCGATATTTTGTGCAATAACTGATGTGAATGCTGTCACGGGTCACAAAGTAATCATTTCCTCTTTGTTTTGTTGCGTTAGAAGCATGGATTGTGTTTAATTTGGCACACGCACTGTTAAAAACCAGACTGTTTGTGATCAAAGTGAGATGAGCCAAATGCTCTGCAGGGACTTATTCTGCACACCTGAGTCAAACATCCAGGTTTGCCCTCCGCATGTTTGCTGGTGTGACTACTGAATGGGCCTGCCTAGAGCTTACAAGGTCTAAAAGTGTCACTTTGGTCTCTTAGCCAGATTTGCATTCTCAAAAAGCCAAGCAGCAGGAGGAGGAGTCAGAGGAAGGACACTATAAAGCCATTAAATGTCTTGTGGTAAAAGCAACATGACAGCATCATGAAAAATCACTGATTTCCTGTTTCATATGTGCAAGCCAAGGTTAAAGTGAATGTGAAGCAACAGCGCCCCCTAGCGGATGTAAATACATGTTTAACAACAGTGGAGGCCCAGTTGCTGCAATAATGAAATAGATTACAGCACAAGTGAATGCAATAAGCAGCCAAGTGTTTAACTATGTATCTAATCAGCAATCAAAGTGCAATGATATGTATTCCTATAGTAAATATATAAATATTTATACAATCCCTTGTTTACTTACAAAGCCAAGTATTACTCATACAGAGCGATAAAAAGTACATTTGCTTTTTGTGTGTCATATTTCAGTGTTCCAGACGAGTAAATAGATTTTTATATCAGACAAAAAAATAAACCGGAGTAAATACAGAATGTTGTTTTTGTCACAAACTCTCATTAAGCCACTTGGGTTTGTAGATGGAGCATCAGTGTTCCTTCATTAGAAACCTGCCATGTCCAGTCTTAAACATGTCTGCTGCCCCCTGGTGGAGAGGGGAATGTGGGCAACTGCTGTTTCTGTGGACAGACTTTTTTTTCCCCAGTAATTTCGACTGATTAATGGCCAGAAAAACTACCGGCCCGGTACACATCGTACACGAGAAAAAAAAGTCCTGGTACCCTGAGTGGTAAAACGATGATGTGCTGGTAGTGTACCGGTTCAACTGCTGCAGAATAATATTATAAAATGAAACAGATAGTAAACGGTTCACTTTTAAAACAGAATTTTTTCTGATGATTTCACGTTCAGGCTTTAAAGCATTAAGGGAGTAGCCTGGCCTTCTACACAGAGGACGACTGGATACTCTGAGGCAGAGAGCACTGCGAGGGGCGGGACCAGCCAGCTCAAAAATAACCAATCAGAAAAAAGGCAGAATTGACGACTGTAGTGTTTTAGCTGTAGTCAAAGATGGCAGCTGGGGACGCCGCAAACATCTTTCTTTGGAAGAAAGGCTTTTAGCGCTTCTGCTTGTGGTTTTAAAGACGTGTCCACGCCATTTAGAACAGAGGAAAGAGCCGCAGCGACCTCCGCTTCAGACGCCGTCTTTGTTGAAACGCAACGTCGTGTTACGCTGCTCAGTGCTGATTGGCTCGGTTAGAATTCTCAGGGGGTGGAAGCATTGGCATGGCTGTTTAGGCTAGTAGGAGGCGTATATGATGCTGGTCTTTTAGCCGACTACATGTTGCCACATTCTATTGAAGTGATTTTTTAATTCTTCAGATCTTAAATACATTTCTGATGTGAAACATTAAAATATGACAACAAAAGAAGAAAACTGTTTGGCGGCAAAAGCTGACTAGCAGCTCTGTCTCCATCAGTAGGCCTACTTGTGTAGCTCGTACCAGTGTTGCACCAAACGAGAGAGTCCAAAGAAAAGTGTGTTCTCTTTAGAATAAATACTCAACAAATGTACTGTACTCTTATTTTTCTACAGGAGTATAAAAATGTTCCACAAAAATGTCATTTTTGAGAAAGCTGTAGAAAACAACAGTCTTGTGTGTTGGATGGGTGCACAGAGGAGTTTTTAAAACCGGGACAAAGAATAAAAACACGATTTGTAATATTTTTGCCAATCACAGAGCTTTATCTTGTGCCTGCTGTATCCTCTTCTAAGCTGCCTGTCAATCAATAAACAGCGTGTATGAAACTGCGGTGTGCTGCTGTCGGCCCTGACGTACCAGTGGGGTTTCTGCCGCCACGCAAGAGTCAGATTAACAAAAGAGCTTTTTCTCTTTGTTGTCCAGCTTGAGTTTTCAGTCTCCATCATCTGCTCAAAGCGCAATGCTCACCAGGAGGTGGCACTAGCAGCATAGAAACAAAATCATTTATGTTCTGTTTAAAACCCAAACATATAAAATTAGAACAAAGAAGCAGTTTGCTGCAGCCGCTTCCGGTCTGACCAAAGATTTCATGAGTAAAAACGGTGAGAAATAGAAGTAAATAGTTCAGATTATATGTTGGCACACACAATGGCAGGAAGCAAGAAAGGATAGGAAGTGATGTGCATCATTGATCACCTTCCCAGGGAAGCTGAAGATCACTTTGAGCATAGATATGTATATAAACACTAGATGTCTCATCCCTGCTGTTCGCCAATGGGATGCAACGTGGCGGCCATCTTACCTAAGTCAGCTGCCCCCTTTCTTGACATTGGGGTGTATGGTGCATGCACTATTTAAATAACTCTAACTTGCTCAATTTTCAACAGATTTTCAAAAGGTTTGATTTGTTATAAACGCCAGAGATAAGTCTATGAAATAGGATGGGTTTGGCCCAGAAATTCCTGTTATTTCACTCCACAAAGCATTTAATCTTTCATAGATAACACATTTTATTGTAAGCTACAGTAATTTAAAGTATACATAGCCTATTATTATATTATATAGATCTGTCTATGTATATCTATATATATACATATATAGATATACATATATATATGTATATTTATATGTATATATACATATATATATATACATATATATGTATATATATATATGTACATATACATATACATATATATGTATACATATATATATATATATATGTATATTTATATGTATATATACATATATATATATACATATATATATACATATATATATACATATATGTATATGTATATATATGTATATATACATATATATGTATATGTATATGTATATATACATATATATATGTATATTTATATGTATATATACATATATATATATATATATATATATACATATACATATATATATGTATATATATGTATATATACATATACATAAACATATACATATATATGTATATATATATCTGTATATGTATACATATATATATACATATATAAATATATATATATATCTGTATATGTATACATATATATATGGTTCACAATTAAGTCACTTTCAAAAGCAAATGTGTTACTTTCAACATGTGCAAGTATGTTGTCTCAAGCCCATGTGTGCTAAGGTTTGTAACAGGGCAAACCGCTTGTAAATCCGTTAAAATGTAATCGAGTTAAGGGTGTTTTTGTTTCAGCTGATCACTCACCTTCCAGCTGCTACCATTAAGAGCGGAGGGGTCTGTCTGAGGTAAGATGGCCGCCGTTTAGCTACGCCGTCGACTCCCGCTTTCGCCATCTAGTGTTTATATACATATCTATGACTTCGAGCACATTTCTGTTGCCAAACTTCAGAAAACAGAAAACACATTTGGAGCAAACATCAAAACTTTTTTATTGTCAAAAAAAAAAAAGAACAAAACAACCATAAAAATCTTTGTGTCAACAACAGGCTTGTGACGTCAAAGACGATGATAAAAATGCTCATTAATGTTAAAATTACAATAAAAGCAGAGTAAAGACATGCAGAGAGGACAGAAATAACAAATGAAAGATTTTAGGTAAAGGATGTTTTCATGTGTGTGTGTGTGTGTGTGTGTGTGTGTGTGTGTGTGTGTGTGTGTGAGTGATGTTTTATGTGCGCACATAAAACATCCTTTATCTAAAATCTTTAATTTGTTTTTTCTGTCCTCTGCATGTCTTTACTCTGCTTTAGTTGTAATTTTAACATTAATGGGCAATTTTATCATATTATAATATTTCGACACAAGATGTTATGTTAAGATTTTCACTGTTAATAAGTGTGGTACTCATCAGCAGTTATAACCTGGTATTACGCTCAGAGGCGGTTTTACCATTAGGCATAGGTAGGGGCCCCCTTGTGTTGGGGGGGGGGGGGGGGGGGGGGGCCTAGACCTGACCGCCGGCACCCCTCTGTTAATGCCACAATATTCTTATTACCAACCTGTGGCCGCAGACGGGATTGGACATAATTCTCATTACCATAATTCCTGAACCGTTCAAGATATCATTAAAATTCCAAAAGTGCTGAAAAGATTAAAAGTGGGGCTTTTCATGCATATACAATGCATTACGGTAGCCACCGGGATTCCCTGTCTTGAGCGCAACGAATCACAACACAGATTCAGAGACGTGCTGAGTTTGTCATCCAAAATGATCCGTTTTATAACTTTTGAATGGCTGATCTGATCCAAAAAATTCCAACGGTTCCTAAAAGTACATCAAAGCAGCTTTCCAACGATCTATAGCATGAAGCAATCAGAGTTATGAAAAATATCGCTACGAGGGGAAATCCTGCTGTACAGCCTGATTGAAACAGAGCGCAGCGCCGCGGTGAAAGTGGATAACGGATCGGGGAAGCTAATCAGCATAAAAACCAGCATGAAATCATGGAAATGCCTCAAAGAAAATCAACACGATCTATTAGGTGTCCCAGAAGGCTTATATCTGAAGACAGTGACCACGAAAGAAGGACAGATCTCCGGTGAACCAGGGTATGAATGTTTGTTCAGTCTTTATTTTTTTATCTGAACAACCCTCAGCTATTTGCTAATTGTAAGATTCAGCTTCATTCCAGCATTATTTATCTTTTTACAATGAATAATTATTTTTGTTAAAACAAAAGTTTTTGGTATATCAGTGCATGGTGTGCAAGAGAAGCACCCCATGGCGGTGTTAGGTGTGCAGGACTCTGCCTGCAGTTGGAGAGAAACTGCTTCAAGGTCTCCCACATCAAATAAAAACGTCTGAAAGTTTACAAAAATAAATGGTCTTAAAACAGATAAAAAAAGATACCAAGGCTCTAACTTTTTCAATAATAGATGCATTACAGATCAAAGTTTAAATTGTTTGCCCAGTCATTTTGAAGTTCCTGTTCAGTAATTGTAAAAAAATCAAATTCTTTTTTGCTTTTTTCACTTTTAAGCTGATTTTTAAAGGCTGTAATAGAAATAAATTCTAAATACAAACCATACACTGAAAGCTGAGGTTGTTCTGAAAGAGTTACACACACTTTGCACTTTTGATTACAATTTTACAGCCATAAGATTAAAAACATACCAGGCGGCCCTGTTATAATTATGGTCATAAGAGGGTTATTAAGACGGCGATGCACAAACAGGAAGTGATTGGTAGTCATTCCAGTCCAATCCAGTTGGTGGCGGTAATGCGCCAAATTGTTGTTTGCCAAGTGCCATAAGACCACAAATAAGAAGAAGAAGAGAGGCGGGAGCATTCGTAACAAACTCAGAGATAGTCAAAACATTAAGCATGACATGGAGTTATCCTAGTGGCTCCAATAAGAGAAAGAAGCAGCATGCTTCATAAAAGCTTTTATCTTCACTTCTGAAAGTGACGTTGTTTTTCGATGTAAACATCAAAAGGAAGCAGAAAGGAAAGACAATGGAAAATGTTTAAAGGGAGGAAAACAGACCAAAATGGAAAATAGAAAAAAAATATCTAAGGCTAAAGCACAGGAGCGTTGACAGGAAAAAGAAAGCAAAGCAAATATTGAAAGCACTCAAAAGGAGGGAAATACAGGAAAAAAGAGGAGGACTAATAAAAAGGGAAAATAACTCGTGTCAGAAGAGGGGAGAGTTTCACAAATCCAGTTAAAGATAAGATTGTCGAAAATTTGGTGTGAGGGGCCCCATGTCTGTGTTCGCCTAGGGCCCCCAAATTGTTAACTCCGCCCCTGATTATGCTCAGGGCTCGAGTTCGGTCGGAGCCGGTAGCCCACCCGCAGGTGAGGGAGGCAGGCCCGGTACCGGTGCCACCCACCGGATCTAGCAGTAAGAGAAAGAGAAAGTAAAAGTCAGAGGAAGTCTTTTCATTACTCTGCTCTAGGATCCCAACGCTCGCTCACCTCCTTTTAACGCAAATAAAACAAACAACTCGATTAAAGTCGATCGTTTAGATTCTAACCGCGTTCTCGCTGAGGTCATCTGAGGTCAAGGAGGAGGAAGAATGTCCCGCGGCTCCAACGCAGGGTTTGACCGACACATCACGATCTTCTCACCGGAGGGCCGCCTCTATCAAGTCGGTAAGGAGGTTTGTCCGGAGTGTTAGCAGCTCCGGTCCCTCAGCTGCGGGGTGGTGGTGGTGGTGGTGTGTGTGTGTGTGTGTGTGTGTGTGTGTGGGGGGGGGGGGGGGGGGGGGGGGGGGGGGGGGCACGACGACGACGACACTTCAACGTGGAGACAAGTCTGATTAAAACACCTAAAGCGATACCAAACAGCAAATTGCTTAGCATTGGAATTAGCATCATAGTTAAAGTGCTTCTTTGTCTAACAGATCTATGTTTGTTTATTTGTAAGTTTTGTAACAAACACATAGATAGATAGAAAGATGATAGATAGATAGATAGATAGATAGATAGATAGATAGATAGATAGATAGATAGATAGATAGATAGATAGATAGATAGATAGATAGATAGATAGATAGATAGATAGAAAGATGATAGATAGATAGATAGATAGATAGATAGATAGATAGATAGATAGATAGATAGATAGATAGATAGATAGATAGATAGATAGATAGAAAGATGATAGATAGATAGATAGATAGATAGATAGATAGAAAGATGATAGATAGATAGATAGATAGATAGATAGATAGATAGATAGATAGATAGATAGATAGATAGATAGATAGATAGATAGATAGATAGATAGATAGATAGATAGATAGATAGATAGATAGATAGATAGATAGATAGATAGATAGATAGATAGATAGATAGATAGATATTTTTATTCGGTCAACAACAACAATTTATCATTTTACATAAAAGTAATCAAGCAACCGAAAAAAGGAATAGGTTGAAGCCTAGTGGCTTATAATTAGCCTATCCTTGAGTCCCACAGACATAATCAAATCCTTAACCAAGGCTGATAGCTAAGATGCATAACATTTAAAGAAAAACAGTGATAAATCAAGAAATCAAATCAACACAAGGTTGGACATCAAGCTAAGTTTCTATAACTTTGGAAGATGCAAAGTGAATAATTCACCTCTAAACTAGAGGCTAGACCAGTTTGGTTAAAGTTTACATGAACTTACTTGTCCTGCTACAGGTGTGTGGAGCCAAGCGGCCGCTCAGCACACACCTACAATAATAACAATAACAGAACCGACTGTTATTGTTATTATTGTTGTTGCTTTTATGAGAAACCTGGCCTGAGGTCTGGTGACTGTGGGGGCCGTTGGAGTCCAGTGAACTCATGATCATGTTCTAGAAAGCAGTTAGAGATGATCCTGCTGGAGGTAGCCATCAGCAGATGGGCAGCAGCATAACTCAGGTGCGCTGTGGTGTTTAAACCAGACTCAGGTGAGACTGAGGGGTCCAAGGTGAGGCACACCACCTGGCGTGGTCTTCTGCTGCCAGAGTCCATCTCTAGCAGCTGGCGTGCTTCTGCAGACCTAGGTAGGAACCAGTCTGACCAGTCTTTGTTGGTCCCAGAGATGGCTGTGGGTTCAAATCCCAGCAGATCAGCAGGTTCTCAAACACTCAGGGCCAGCCCTTCTGGCTTCAGAAAGTCATCTTCACCTCCAAATCCCTGAATGATTGTGCAATTGGCTGATTCTGTATTTACGGTAGCAAACCTCTGAACAGGTGTGTCTAATAAAGTGATGTCATCCTTTTTTGTTTTCAATCATCTTAAAATTGATGAATTAATCAACAATGTTTATTGATTTATCTGAAGTGAATTGGGGTTTAACTGATGGTCGGTTGGAGATGATCCAAAAGCTTTAAGCTGTGTTCCAAAGAGAACGACGCTGCCAGGTCAACACACCTCAGCATCGCAGTAAGTCTTGCAGCCATAGCTGGACCAAAGCCCTTCTCCTTCATGTGCTTGAATGCAGAATACGCCTTCAAAGCCATCGCTCAGAGCGGACTGACGTCTGTCGGGATCAGGGGGTCAGACAGCGTCGTGGTGGTCACGCAGAAGAAAGTACCGGTAACACACACACACACACACCTCTGGCATGGTGATAGGTGAGTCAGAGTCAGTGAAGCCACATGGATCCCGGCATCAGCAGAAACCTGAGACGGTGTCTCTAACCTGTTTGCTGCCATAAGGACGCTCATCCTCTCAGCTGACACCGTTCTACACACTGAACCGTTCCTGTTTTCATCAAATCAGAAAAACTGGTTGTTCTGTAGGACTCAGATTAGGTGGAAAATGTTGAGTAAACAAAGTTGGTTTGAGAAGAAAAGGGAAAGCTATTGCAGTGATTGAGGAGGATTTTGTGTTTGACATCAGGACAAGCTCCTGGACTCGTCCACGGTGACCAACATGTTCAAGCTGACCCCTCGAATCGGCTGTGTGATGACCGGGCAGAGTGGTGCGCCTTCATCTAACAACGTCAGGTGTAGTCTGGTGTTTGTTTCTCGCTAACGGTCCCACCGTCTGGTCTGTGCAGCAGACAGCCGATCGCAGGTCCACCGGGCCCGAGTGGAAGCGGGAGAGTGGAAATATAAGTTTGGTTACGACATCACGGCGGACGTGTTGTGTCGCAGGCTGGCGGATATCTCTCAGGTGTACACACAGAATGCAGAGATGAGACCGCTGGGCTGCTGTGAGTCGAAGCTCTTGTTTCTGGTCTAACGGTTCTGAAAGCTGCAAACCGACTCTGAAACCCTCTAGGTATGATCATGGTGGCCATCGACCCCCAGCTCGGTCCCGTCCTGTATAAGTGTGACCCAGCAGGCTACTACTGTGGCTTCAGAGCCACGGCGGTCGGGGCCAAACAGACGGAGGCCAACAGCTACCTAGAGAAGAAGCTGAAGAGGAAACCAGACTTGTCTCACAACAGAGCGGTGCAGGTAAGCCCGATGAAACGGGCCTGCTACAGTTCACTGATCCTGGGTCGGAACCCTCACCTCCCTTCTGTCCTTCAGCTGGCTGTATGCTGTCTGTCCTCCGTCCTGTCGTTGGACTTCAGGGCCAGTGAGCTGGAGGTGGGTGTGGTCACCAAAGACAAGCCCAAGTTCAGGTAACTCCTGTCAGACGCTGACTCTGGGTCAGTTTGGGCTTGAAGGAGGTTTCATGCTAAGCTCGACTGATAGCTTAATTTTTTTTAATAGTACAGATGTAACGAGCTGAGGGGGTGCAGACAAATATCAAACAAATATATATATTTGTATATATATATATTTCCAAATATATATGTTTGTATATGTATTATATATATATATATTATATATACAAATATATATATATATATTTGTATATATATATATATATATATATATATATATATATATATATATATATATACAAATATATATATTTGTATATATATTATATATATATATATATATATATATATATATATACATACATATATACAAATATATATATTTGTATATATATATATATATATATATATACAAATATATATATTTGTATATATATATATATATAATATATTATATATATATATAATATATTATATATATTATATATATATATATATTATATGTATATGTATATATACAAATATATATATAAATATATATATTTGTATATATATAATATATATATAAAATATATATATTATATGTATATGTATATATATACATATATATATAATATATATAATATATATATTATATGTATATGTATATATATATACATATATATAATATATAAATATAGACAAATCACATCCTCGTCGCCAATTTATGTTATATTTCCACCGTAGAGTCAATACACTAGAGAGTTTATACCGAGTCAGACCTGTCTCCTGTTTATTGCGGAACACAGAAGTAATACACACACATAACTGGGCGTGGTGCCCCCTACTGGCGATGACTTGCATAACACACAATAACTCTTGGTCCATACATAACACCAGTTATGTTTTGTTGTTTGCTATCCAGTCTGATCTGAATAATCAGCACCATTAATTACAAATGTTTTATTAGCAACCTGTAAGAGGGTTGGGCCACGTTTCCGGTATTCCTGACAATCATGAACTTGTTTCTTATGTGATCACTGCAGTTTTGATTTGATGCGTTTATGTCAGTTCGCTGATGCTGACGTGTCCTCTTTTGTCCCCCGTCCTGTAGGACTCTGTCCGAGGCTGAGATAGAAGCTCACCTGGCTGCTATCGCGGAGCGGGAGTAGAGCCACACTCACAAATCTTCTCAGCATTTCATCATGACCCCTTCACCGCTGATAGAGCGGAGGCTTTAATCCGATTGGGTCTAAACATACAGATGATGATGTTTACGTATCTTTTTAAAATCCCTCTTAAACAAACCTTTGCCACACCTGAATGAACAGCAGTCATAATAAAATTAAGCAAGTTTGAATGTGTGTTTGTCTGATTAAAGGTGGAATCAGTGAGTTTTGCCACTGGGCAGTTTAGGGTGTGTTTAGGGGAATCAGGAAATCTAGGATTCAGGCAGCAGCACTGACATGTTGACAGGTGTTCTGCTGCATTACTCCAAAAGACAACTGGGTGGTGGTGTTTCTGCCTCCTCTTTAGCACTGTTTTCCTTTTCCACAGCCTGGCCTGCTAATTCTGCACAGAGGGAGTCTAGTTACCCACAGGCAGAGAGGCACATGAGGGGCGGGGCTAGGCAGCTCAAAAATAACCAGTCAGAAAAAAGGAAATGCCGACTACCATGTGATGCTGTAGTTTTTTTTAGCTGTAGTCAAATATGGCGTCTGGCAACGGCGCAAACATCTTTGATTTTTTTCTAGAAGAAATGCTTTTAGCGCTTCTACTTGTGGTTTTAAAGAGATTCAAGTCATTTAGAACAGAGGAAAGAGCCGCAGCCGACTCCGCCGCTGTCTTCGTTGTTTATGAGGAACTGAGCGTCGCTGTGTGTGACGTCGGCGACGCCGTAGTGTTTTAACTGTAGTCAAAAACATCTTTCTTTAGAAGAAAGGCTTTTAGAGCTTCTGCTTGTTTTAAAGATGTGTCCAAGTCATTTAGACGAGAGGAAAGAGCCGCAGCGAACTCCGCTTCAGTGGCCATGTTTCTGACAAACGCGGCGTTGTGGTGTGTGACGTACGCTGCTCAGCGCTGATTGGCTCGGTTAGAATTCTCAGGGGTGGGGTTGTTTGAATAGGAGAGATTCAGGCCAACTGCAGGTTCAGGCTTGTACAGTTTTTGAGACAGCGCCCTCTGAAGGACAAACGTGTAACTGCAACTGCAGATTCAAGACTAACTGCAGATTAAAGGCTGCAGACTTGGACACCGCAGATTCACACTTGCTGCAGATTCAAGCTTCCACATATAAAAATGTGTAATTGTTGGTGAAGCTTATTAAAAATAGTTTATTCGTTGTTAAAGCTTCAGTGAAGTAGCTCTCAGAATACACATTTGATAACTCCTGAGTTACTTTTAATAATAAAAGCTTTTATCATATTTATTTAATTGGAGTTGTTTGTAGAAACAAAAAAAAACTTTCCAATTTTCCTGTTTCTGGACATCCGTAGATCAACCACCTTGTAACACCTCGATGGACCAAAACACACGTGGCTCATGACTTCAATGCGGAACGCTGTGGAACTTTGAAATGATGAACTGAATATTTTATTGAAGTAAAACTTTATTTAAAACCCAGCTGCATTCTTATTGGTCTGTAGGATGGTCCATTATGTTTTTGTTTTTCTTACTAATTAAACAAATACTGTTCTCCACGTTCTATACTTACTCTGCAATCGTACTCCATCTTGGAATGCTAGCAAACAGTGGGCAGCGCTGTCTCAAAAACAGTACAAGCCTGAATCTGCGGTCTCCGGGTCTGCGGCGATACCCTCCTCCTTCTCTGTTTAGAGATCTGTGTGATGTAACGCTTATGTGGACCCTCACTCTTCATCTGTCTGTGTCTACGTCTAAATCAGCTATAATCTGAAAGTTTCTGGTGTCAAACAAACAAACAAATAAACAAACTGCCAAAACAAGGTTTTATTTTTATTATAAAATTAACACGTCTTCACAAGACAACTTTCATAGTTGGGAAGACATTTAAATGTTTAAGACCTCTGCTGGCATCAGACAAAAATAACCTTATTAAAATATTTTCTAACTATTTAATCTAATTAAACCAAACCAACCTGGTCCTGTATAAAGAAGCAACTGAATAACAGACTGGAACTCCTGGTATCAGCGTGTGAGTCTCATCCCTCGCTCTTCTCCACAGAATTGTCTGAATTGAGACACATCAGAGGGTTTGCATCTGTTTATGGTCAAAGGTCAGACGTTCTCCTAGAAAGAAGGACATTTTCATGGTTAGGTCAGATCCAGCAGGTGGTCCAGGTCCTGTCCCAAACCAACACACTACCACCACCATATTTTAGTGTTAGTTTGACTCCAGATGGAATGGGACGCACACCTTCCAGATGTTTCTGCTCTGGTCTCATCAGTCCAGAGGAGATATACCCTCAAGGCTTTGGGGTCATCATGATGGTTTATGTAAACGTGAAACGGGTCTTTTTTTGTTTTTGGTCCCTTGGTGACCGTAGAACCCTTGAATGGTGGTCATGACCTCTGAACTTAACCTGAGACCTGAAGGGCTCTAGATGTTCTTGAATTTCTTTTGAATGGGGCCTGCTGTTTTGGTTTTAGTGATCTTCTAGCCAACTTCCTTTTGTCAGACAGGTTCTGTTAAAGTGATTTATTAATCCTACACGACTGATCACGTCAGGCCTGGGCCAGTTTATTTATATATCACCAAATCACGACAAGAGTCGTCTCAAGGTAGCCTAGTGAACTAGACCAGATTCTTGCTTTGCAAAGTTTGGTCTAGGAACGCTCCACTGGAACCTCCACAGCTCCTACCAGGACTCTGGCTGGCCAATCACAGCTCTCTAGAGGGGTTTCAAACACATAAAGAGCCATAATGAGGAGTCCATAATGGTGGGCCAATCATAGTGCTCTATCTGCTTAGTGAACAAATCACAGAGCTTTATCCGCTTTGTGGGCCAATCAGGGCACTCTATATGCCTGGTGGGTGGGATGATGCAATAGAGTGAAACAAGAGTATGTCACATTCATTGTCCAGTGGAATGCGGAGATCATTTGAAAGACGACGGTAGAACCCGCCCCACAACCGAGAGCCGTTGTCGGTACAAGATCTGCTCGGGTGCAAGATCGGCTCGGGTCCGTCGACTGCCGATGACGTCTAAGTAGTTGATTGGCTGAACATGAACCTTATGGAATTACGTAATCACGTAACATTGTTATCACGTGACGTTGGTCCAGGCAAATTTTTTCTATTGGAAAGATGGACAACTTTTACAAAGAAATCCATCATTACCTCTTTGAAAATACACTTTTAGCATAGAGCTGCATGTATATTAGGGCTGAACGATTAACTGCATGTGCAATTAAATTGCGATGTGACAAAATCAGATTTTCTAATGGCAAAGTCTGCAATTTGGCAGCGAGTGGTTAGCGCAATGCTAATATACATGGAAAAACCCATAGGAATGCTAATGCTAATATCGCCGATTACATTATTACAAATTATGAATTAGAAACGTGCCGAATGATTACATTTGGAGTCTAATAGAAAGTAAAACTACCATCAATCAAATAAGTACAGACAGGTATTTTAGTAAAGCCAGAAAACTTTTAACTCCAGAGCTTTGGCTAGCAGCTATGAGCGTAACTGAACTACTCATGGACAAGACGTCAAAAACTCTAAACACAAAATACTTCAATAAACGGGACACACTTCTTTCCTGCAAATACAATTTCACAGGTGTTGCTAATACCTATGATCCTTCAAGGGATGTGCTCAAAGAGGAGTTCAACATTATGAATACAATATAGTGTTTTATGTAACAAATACCATTATAAACACAAACTTACGTCTTAAGAAACATTATTTTAATAACGAAACTGCTAAATTCTTTCCAACAGTATAGATGTGTAGTGTATTTTGTCCGAGTGGGTTTGCCGTACTTTGACGTCATCGGCAGTCGAAGGACCCCGAGCCGATCTTGCACCCGAGCAGATACTGTACCGACACCGTCAATGGAGCGTTGCCAGACTAAATAATACATTTATTTAGTCTGGCTTGCCAGGCTAGCAACAAGGCGCTTCAGAAGGTAAACATTCCTATACAGTTCAGCCAATCAGTAAAACGTTTCCCAGCAGATTGAGTCACTGACTAGTGTCAGAGTCAGCAGACTGGGCTTTGATCTGAAAGGAATGTCGAGGAACAGTTTATTTTTATTATTATTTTATTTCATTCAGAAGGAAAATTAAATAGATAAACAATGAAAACGAGAAGAAAGAAGAATAATCTCGTAATGTCTGCCCCTTATTACTTTTACAAACACCTCTATTTAGTTTTTTTTACAGTATTTACAAACAGCATGTCCCAAAACAACGCACACTACTATGATCTGTATTTATTTAAGTCATGAACGTTTTCACACAAGTTCTTTTGATTTGTTTCCTGGCTGCTCTGATGCTTTTGGACTTCTTTATTTCTAGTTTGTTCCGTTCCTGAGCCGGTCTGGTTGGTTCTGGTTAGTTACAGATGTCTGACCCGTAAATCCAATCCAATCCTCAAATACAGGCCGGTATTCAATCAAAGGCCGGGTCTCCAATTTTGGCCGGTGTCGCGGGAGTTATAAATAATGGCCGGCCTCTTATTGTGGCCGGATGGAATGTGGTAACAAGCAAAAATGAGCCTCCCAGCGGCAGGATTATAGTACCCAAATCAACCAGCAGGAGGCAGTAGAGGTTCACGCAGACCTTTATTAGGCTTTTTCTTCAACGCTTTGTAACGCTACAGACACGATCCTCTATCATGCTCCTACCACACAGAGTCACGGTGTCAGTTAACCATGCTAATTCAACCCGCTCCACAGAACACACATCACCTTCCCTGTGGCTTACATAACACTCACACAACACGCAAATCAGCACATAGGAACTAGCAGAACGATAGGAAACACATATAACACAATACCCAGAATGCACCTGGCTTACAACCCCAGCCAGGTCATTACACTATCAAGTTCAAAGAGAACGTGCTGATTATGCTGCAGAACACTGGAGAGCAGCAGTAGTGGGTGTATGAACTACAGTAATCCCTCGTTTATCGCGGTAGATGCGTTCCAGACCTGGCCGCGATAGGTGAAAATCCGCGAAGTAGGGACTCCCAGCATGTCCCTCGCGGGGATTCCCTCCACGTCGCACCTACGTCACAAACCGCGGCTATAAACGGAAGTCGCCTTTCCAGCTCACCACTCAGTCATCGTTTCTTCAGATTCATGATCAGAGTTTCCAACCTACCGATCAATCCAACGAACTATCAGCTCATAGTAAGTTATCTTACTTACT